CCAAAGATATTAATTTTGAGCTAAAAGAAGGCAACTGTATGATGGTCAATGAGCACCTAAGCATACAATAGTATGTAAAGTTCTAATTACACAAAGAGAAGTATAAAAAATAAAATTTATTAATTTGAATATTTTTTCAAAATATATGTACATTATATAATTTTAAATGAATATTCTGACTGGCTTTTCACTACTAATAGTTATGATATTTAAGCATTATAAGAATAGTTGTAATAAAGTACATTCTTGTTTATACAAGATTTGTATCAAGTATACTTACTTTTATAAGCCAAGGGAACTAGCTTAATAAAACTGTTTTAACGAGGCTTTTCAGCAGTTTTATTTATTGTCACAATATGGATCATTGTCTAACAACAGGTATATCTAGACATTGAAGTAAATGACCTCTTTGAAGATTTAAAAGGTGGTCAGTTTAAAGGACTTGTTAAAATTGGACATAAGATAAATAGAAACTTCCTTTAAATACAGTTCTTCAAGTTTTGTAAATGTTATGAAATAAAAGTTGTCAAGTGGGGAGAAGTGTGTGTGTATACATGCTAGTTAATTGTTGTAGATTTGAATAAACATTCCAGACAAAGGCCGCCCAGTTTGAACACTAAGAAAAAGATAGTCAGTCTACAGACTGGTAATACATTCATAAGTTTGAGCACTGGGTCATGCACATGTTTTTCAGGTTGCAATACAAATCTGTAGATATAAGTTGAGAAGATATGGTTGTAAATGCAGGAAACACATACTTATAAAGTGGTCAAGATTTTAATAACACACTCAAACATGCACTTTACTGAAACATCATAATGATAAATTGATACACTTAATCCTTAGCCTGCTTGTGAAATGAATATAACCATGCAACCAGCGCAGACCAAGATGAAGCCGGCACATCCACGCTGTCTGATCATCGTCTGCATTGTTCTCTATTCAGTCAGTACATACATTGTATCCTAAAAAATATAAACGTTGAAGAATGGACAAGTCCATTAAAGATACTAAGGTTGGTAAGGGTTAGCTTTAACATAATTGCTTGCAAACACAGCTCAAAAGCTTTTTTTCTTTGGTTTTATTTCAGATTAACAATTGACTGGAAAATATAAAACTCAAAACATTCTTGTCTTTAATCTTTTCTTCAATTTTTAGTAGCTCTGGCAAGAATTGTTTTAATCTTAAATTTTTGGAAAACAAAAGAGAATCAATATTGTAAGTAATGATTTATCATTCAGTAAATTCCTTGCGACATATTGTTCTTTAAAGTATGAAATGTCCTGGAACAAATATGCTATTAAAGTTGATCTAAAAAATCATCTGATTGATTCACTCAATGGTGACAGCTTGACAAGTGTAAACTTTGCTGAAAACAGGACTTATAAGTTGTGTAAATGAATGTAAAGTTATATTATCCAGTTGCTCAGTTTCTGAACTGAGTGATGGAGACTGTTTCATAGGAAAAACACATGTAGATGCTAAGTTTGAAAGATGACCCAGTTAAGTCCTTGTGTAAGATGACCCTGTTATGCCAGTTTGTAAGATGACCCTGTTTATTATATTCCAGTCTGTAAGATGGCCCTGGGAGTGGTGGCCTAGTGGTTAAGGTGTCTGCCTCTCAACCCAGAGATCATGGGTTCAAGCCCTACTAGGGTCACAATCATGTTTCTTCATATGACACCAGTACTGGTTGGCTCCAGGAAGAGGACTCAAAAGTGATTTATATAAGTTGCAAGAACTTGTTTTGCAATCGAGCTTAATAATTGTTTAAACCGAAGCCCTGTTATGCCAGTCTGTAAGATTGCCCTGTTATGCAAATCTTTAAGATTGCCCTGTTATATCAGTCTGTAAGATGGCCCTGTTATGTCAGTCTGAAAGATGACCATGTTATGTCAGTCTTTAAGACCGCCCTGTTATGTTAGTCTGTAAGATGGCCCTGTTATGTCAGTTGTGAGATGGCCCTGTTATGTCAGTTGTGAGATGGCCCTGTTATGTCAGTTGTGAGATGGCCCTGTTATATCAGTCTGTAAGATGGCCCTGTTATGTAAGTTATGAGATGGCCCTGTTATGTCAGTTGTAAGATGGCCCTGTTATGTCAGTTGTGAGATGGCCCTGTTATGTCAGTTGTGAGATGGCCCTGTTATGTCAGTTGTGAGATGGCCCTGTTATATCAGTCTGTAAGATGGCCCTGTTATGTAAGTTATGAGATGGCCCTGTTATGTCTGTCTGTAAGATGGCCCTGTTATGTCAGTTGTAAGATGGCCCTGTTATATCAGTCTGTAAGATGGCCCTGTTATGTCAGTTGTAAGATGGCCCTGTTATGTCAGTCTGTAAGATGGCCCTGTTATGTCAGTCTGTCAGATGCCCTGTTATGCCAGTCTGTCAATAACCCTGTTATGTCAGCCTGTCTATGACCCTGTTATGTCAGTCTGTAAGATGGCCCTGTTATGTCAGTCTGTAAGATGGCCCTATTATGTCAGTCTGTCCGATGCCCTGTTATGCCAGTCTGTCAGATGCCCTGTTATGTCAGTCTGTCAATGACCCTGTTATGTCAGTCTGTCAATGACCCTGTTATGTCAGTCTTTAAGATGGCCCTTTTATGTCAGTCTGTAAGATGGCCCTGTAATGTCAGTCTGTTCGATGCCCTTTCATGCTCTAGTCTGTCAGATGCCCATGTAATGTCAGTCTGTCAATGACCCTGTTATGTCAGTCTGTCGATGACCCTGTTATGTCAGTCTGTAAGATGGCCCTGTTATGTCAGTCTGTCAATGGCCCTGTTATGTCAGTCTGTAAGATGACCCAGTTATATCAGTCTGTGTGCAGTATAATCTTTGAACCTTAAAATCAAAAGCAAAAACTAAATCACACACACATAAAAATTTGACTTTTAAGTTCTGAGATTTTTTTGTTATTTCCCTATTCTGATTTATAAAACAGACAGAATGTCGGAATCCATTGATCCCTGTAACACTATTAAACCTAGATCAAACAAACCACAGAATGCTATAGATCTGTGTCATACACAGTCCACATGGAAACTTAGGGCAAAAAATGTCACATTTATTATCATATCATTATTCTGTAAGAATGATGAAGCCAAAAAATATTCTCAATATTCTTATGACAGACATGTTTCTGTAAATAAAGTCTTCTGGTAAGTCATACAAGATGAAAACGTCCTTTCTCGTTTATATGGTACACTGCATGAAAATACAAAATGTTTGTTTGACAAGTTTACCTCCTCTGTACTGTGGACTGAACTAAATGTTTAGGTCTTTTGCAGAACTATATAATAGAGAGATTAAGATAATTTTCTGTAGTTTTCCAGTTGAATTTCAAATTTCATATTCGGTCAATTTAAGAGATTCAGACTGGTATGCATTTCAATTGAGACCAGTTATAATTATTTTGATTCATTGTATGGTAAATAATAATTGTCATTGAGAATTTATTCATTGATTGGTGAGTAATGGATAGTCATGAATAAAATATGAAAACATTGAATTGCTACTTGATTTAGTGGCTTGTTGGCCAAGCTAATTTTTCACTTAATTAGGGTATTGTTAGGAAGGCATTGTCTACAGCTAATTATTCGACAATACAATCCCAGTGCTCAACCTTGTGCTATCGAATGTACACATTTCAAAATGAATGATCTGGAGATATTTATAAATCAGCGATCCCACGAAAAGTTTTTGTTATTGTTGCTTTTTCATTGACAATTGATTGATTTCAGCTTTTATTACAACAAAATTTTGGATAATCTTGGAACGCTATTTTGGAAGCGTGTCAAAATTTCATACCCTAATTGTTTCACTATTGAATATTTTAATTTGCCTGATTCCGCTAGTTTTTAAATTAACCGAAATCCAAACTATTGGATAGAGCGGGCTTGTGTAAACATTTAATTCCATCAAAGAGTAGCAAGTTATTAGAATTGAATAGAATTATATAACAGACTTCAGCTTTCTGACAGCTAAATAAGTAGCATTATTAAAGTTATGGAATCACAAATAACATATTAAACTGATTTATGCAAAACAAAAATAATCTCAACTTGAGTGTGAGAAAAAAAAAATTGAAAGAGCAGGCTGAAAATTTATTGATTGATCAATACTCTGTCAAATTTTGTTTAATGTAAATTACTTTGTTATAATGATAAGGGTTCTACGTGGTTGAGTGGTTAATGTCACAGACTTTAAATCACTTACCCCATACTGATAAGGGTTTGAGTCCCGTCAGTGACTATTGAGGAATGGAGCTATCCAGCATAGCTTATGGAAAGTCAGTAGTAGTCTACCAAGATGCCTGCTTATGTCTGATATATGGCATGAAGGGACGTCATTACCTGTAAAACTGGAATGTCACCTCATGACTTTTACTGTGTTGGTTTGATTTCAATGGCAACCATTTTTTCTTGACCTAGTTTTAATTTTGAACTGCCCATAGTAAATGATGGGGATTCCACTAAGTAAATACCAGAATTACTACAATTATGAAGATAGTCTGGCTTTTTAAAGTTAGCATAAGCCTACTATTATGGAAAATAGCTCTCCAGAAGTTATGTGACACTTGAACTTAAGTACAAAAAAAAATCAGATATTTGAAAAGAAGAGCAAATAATGTATAAGTTCAAACTAGTAGTAGGGAATTTAAACAAAACTGTGTAGGATAAAGGCAATTATAGAGTAAATATTAATTATAAACCTAAGTGGAAAAAAAGGGTGTGATCACATGTTTTTTATATTGAATCAAGTGTTTGCTCTCGCCTATGTTTGATTAAAATCTTAAAGTTAAAGATAGACTTTCTTCTAATAATAAAAAGTTTATATAATGTTAAGGGCATGTCAAATTTGTCATAATATTTGTATACATATACTTTGTAACATGATTTATATATATAAATAATAAATATAATGTCATAATTTTAATTAGGTTAAGGAACAAAGAATAAAAATAATCTGTTTGATTTTTAGAAAATATATTGTATATTTCAGGTGTTTGAAGATCTGGGTACAGATGTTCTCAAGGCAGCATTTGATGGCTTCAATGCTTGTGTGTTCGCATATGGACAAACTGGCACCGGCAAAACTCACACTATGATGGGATACCCTGTAAGGCAGCGTATTGTATATGATTATTACAAACAACTGTGGCTTTTGCATTATTTATTGCTAGGATATATCATGGTTTAAGTCAGAAGCTGATGGGGATTTTTATTTTCATAACATTGGTATCCCAAAATGTTAAATACCAGCCAAAGCATCATGAAATTAAAATAAAAGAAAATTATTAGAATTTTTCATTTGCTGCTTTAGATTATATAAAACCAAAATAACTCATCATGCATTTATGAATGTATTCATTGAAGAACCAAGCCTTTTACAAATCATTGTCTTTAACAATTGCATGCAAAGAAATATCTGAATTGGATAATTTGCTGCATTATAAACATGAAATGCAAAACTGTATTAAGTCATTGCCCTTATTGAACAAGTTGAGACAGTAGTGTATTGATCACTAGTTTTTTTTCTGAAAAAAAAAGAAGAAGAAAAAAGAGAAGACAATTTTTTTTTGTATTGATTATAGATAATTCATCATAATTTAGTTTTTAATTTGCTTTGACATATGAAAGAGTTTCCGTTCTATAATTGTGTGTTTTGATCACTAGAATTGAATAATCACTGTCTGTTATTATTATAATTTCTTAAAAGAGAAAAAAAACAATTATGATAAAATCGAAAATGGATTGGAGCAATGTGCACATTTGTTTTGCTATTTGAATCTGTTTTTGGGTTAGAGATTATATAATATTCATTGCAGATTAAAAATTTTTAATCTCTAATCCTGAATAAACATTTTCTGTGGGAAATTCAACACCTACACAAGTTGTGAACAATAGAAGTGTTTTCATTTTTCAAATTCTTTGAAATTCATTTATACTAGCCTTTAATATTACTTTTTGATCAATATTTCAATCAATTTTATCTGTAAGAGTACAAAATCAGAAAAAAAGTATTTTAGGAGTGGTATATTTATGCCAATTTATTAAAACAAGTGATCTGTCCTTTGAATAACATTTCTGAGGTTTGATAAAAGTCAAAGCAACAAAATATCTGACTGGGCTGTATTTTTGTGTCGCCTTGAAAAAGGCGACATATAGGGATTACTTTTGTCGGCGGCGTCGGCAGTGTCGGTGTCGGCGTCTGCGTCGGGACTTGACACTTCATAGGATGATAGATCTCATTAAGAAAAAGTGCAGTGCACAAGAACCGGTACTCTGCACTTCCTAATTTTTTAGTTATTTCCCTTTGTTAATTTTCATACTTTATTTTTGTCCGGGCCATTTCTCCTAATGTATAAAAGCCATGGACTTGAAACTTCATAGGATGATAGATCTCATTAAGAAGAAGTGCAGTGCATAAGAAAAGGTACTCTGCATTTCTTATTTTTTGAGTTATTGCCCTTTGTTAATTTTCATACTTTATTTTTGTCCGGACCATTTCTCCGAAAGTATATAAGCTATGGACTTGAAACTTCATATGATGATAGATCTCATTAAGAAGAAGTGAAGTGCATAAGAAAAGGTACTCTGCATTTCTTATTTTTTGAGTTATTGCCCTTTGTTAATTTTCATACTTTATTTTTGTCCGGACCATTTCTCCGAAAGTATATAAGCTATGGACTTGAAACTTCATATGATGATAGATCTCATTAAGAAGAAGTGAAGTGCATAAGAACCAGTACTCTGTATTTCTTATTTTTTGATTTATTGCCCTTTGTTAATTTCATACTTTATTTTTGTCCGGGCCATTTCTCCTAATGTGTAACAGCTATGGACTTGAAACTTCATAGGATGATAGATCTCATCAAGAAGAAGTGCAGTGCACAGGAACAGGTACTGCAGTTTACAGGAACAGGTACTTTATTTTAACCAGGTCATTTCTCCTCAAGTATGAAAGCTATAGACATGGAACTTCTTAGGATGATAAATCTCATTAAGAAAAAGTGCATTGTACAAGAACCGGTACTCTGCATTTTTTTTTTTTTGAGTTATTACCCTTTATATATTTTCATATTTTATTTTTTTCCAGGCCATTACTCATAAATTATAAAAGATATGGACTTGAAACTTCATAGAATGATAGATCTTATTGATAAGATGTGCAATGCATAGAAACTGCTGCTCTGCACTTATTATTTTTTGAGCTATTGCCCTTTGTTAGTATTCGTATTTCATTTTTGTCCTGGCCATTTCTCCTAAACGATATTGTTCACAAGGCGACACATCCGACTCGCGGAGTTCTAGTTTTGGCTAACTAACTTAAAATTTTCATCTTAATATCTATAAAATTAACAATGGATAGTATCAAAATGGAATTTTAGAATTCAGCAAGTAATGAAATATTCCATAACACTCATGTAACTGCCCACTGACATTTTTCAGAATGGCACTAAACCCAAACAAACAGAACTTTCTACTCAAAACTAAAGCGTGTTTGTCAAATATTTGACCAATTTAGGATGTTTGTCCTAATTTTTTTTGTCAGTGTAAAACTGTTATACTGTAAAGTCAGCTGGTGACAAAGTTGCATCTTTAAAGGCTTATGTACATGAACTGTAGTATATATTAAGTTGATAAATGAAGAAGAAAATAATTGTTTTTTTTTTAAAGTATTTTTTTTTTTAAATGTTCGTCTTATTGTTTCATGTACATGTGTAGCATGTTTATCAAAAGATAAAACACACTTCTGACATGTTTTATTGTTTTGTTTTTATTTTCAGGGAGATGTTGGTCTAATACCAAGAATATGTGAGGTGAGGTTTAGTGTCTTTCTACATGTATTTATTATAAGTAATATGTGTAATTTTGCTTGAAGACATGTGCTTGTGCCAGGTTTCTCTCTCAGCAAACATTCACTTACCAAGGTGACGGTGTCTTCTTGTAGCAGACAAATCTACTGCTCTTTCCATCTTGAATTTCTTTCACGAAAATATCACTTCATTTACACAATTGTATGTTAATACAATTAACATACAGCCCACCTTATTTGTACTCACTTGAAAGTAGGAAATATTTTTGCCAACTGAATGTAAAGTGAAGTAAAAATTCAACAATCATATGTTTTAAATCACTTTACCCCTTCTGAACACTTACAAACTCATATATATTTCTGTTTATAGAATAGAATCATAAAATACCATTATGCTTGACCTAGAATTTCGATGACTCAAAAAATAAGTCTTGAAATTTCATCTCAATATTCAATGGATTTATTATTGATATTTTATATACAAATTTGTACGATTTGAAGTTTTACCCCATGTAACTGTCTCAGGGTAATGTAGTTTTGATATTTTGAAACACTGCAAACCTTTTTAAACACTTGACAATTCCTTGGATTTGTAAGAACTGGTCAGGAATATTTGAAGATAAAAACAATCAGTGATATAAATCACCATTAAAATACACAAATCTCCTTGTAAATATCAAAATCCCTCTCTCAAGTTAAATTAAATTCCTTATACAAGAAGTTGTTTGCTTGAAATAAATCGGAAATGGATGGTTCTTTGTCAATTAGATATTGGGGGACTTACGCGTCCTTATAAATGGTATAAGTTTGAAGGGGTCATGTGACATTGCTGTAAGGGATATAAGTATCTGTGTATGATTTATGCTCAATAACATAACATCACATAATCTTTAATTGACATGAAATATGCTTTGCCTGCCTATATTAAGCTAATAAGGAAAAAAATTTCAACTCAAGTAGAAGTCGTAAGGGTTTAGCGCAACAATATTGTACCTACTCGTTTGACAAGACTCAGTTACAGTATTGATGTAAATGGTTCATAATGTGAAGGATAAATATCATGTCAAGTGCAGAACTTGATCCCTCCTTAGGTACTGTCTAATTATACTTTAGGAAGGAAAATGATTCGCATAACTTTTTTTTACTAAGTTCAAAATTATTGCTCCTTTATGCATTATAGCTAGCTATCTCTAGTTCCATTATTCTGAGAGGCTGTTCAGCATTAATGGTATTTTAAGAGATGTACCATTGTGCCACGGGGAAAATTTTATATTACATGACAATGTTACAACAAGATTATTCCCCTATGAGACAGGGCATGGTGGTTTGTGTTGTTAAAATTGCTGAATAAAAACTACATCCCCCCCCCCAATTCCCCCCCCCCCCCGTTACAAATGTTAGTTTGATTCCTTAAGGGTGCACATCCTTTCATGGGAGCAAGTTATCTAGTGAGCATTCAACAAGCCAATAATTTTATTCACTTGTTACGATGCCAAAGGGTTATAAGTGGCTGTCCTTTACCAATAATTATGTTAGACAGTCGCAAAAGACTGCAAAAGTTAATGTTTTCCATAAAAAATCTACAGAATGAACACAAAATTATAAAATGGTCTTGTCAAAAAAGATTAAAAAGATATTTAATCATGAATTTTCTCCGTGCCCTGCTTGTTCAGACTAGCTATGAAATGAAAATCGTGTTTATTATTTACGGAGATGTATCATTCAGTAGCTCACTATAGACGATACGTAATCAGTAGTAGGCCTATGTTTGTATACATAAGTAGCGATAAATGTAAACGATACAAACTATTGCGGCCTGATATAGGAATAATATTCAACAACTTCAAGCAGCGTCATATCCCTTAGAATCACTTAGATTGATATAATTTGGATTATTTACACTGTCGGAGGTTACATTGATACACAAAATGATTAAATGACTTTTGAAACGTTCAGCGAGCTGAGTTTTTATTATTGCCAAACGGGGTGTATAAAAAATTATCTGGACCAAGGAATTTGGGAATTTCATTTATTTATTAAAATGTATTTCTTGTATTTCTTTTTGATATTGAGATATTTTTGCTTGAGATGATGCTGTATTTATAAAACTGTGAAATTTAAGTAAATAAGACGTAAGGGTATTGATAAAAAGGGTAGTTTTGTCAGAAGTATCAAAATATACTTTGAATTAACTTAATTTCGTGGGCATGCAATTTTCTGGTTTTGGCATAAAGAACATTTGCATGGGGTCTTAAATTTATTGAATGTTTATTTTTCCACTTCTATAGTTGATGTCATTATTAGGCTATTTATTACTAGTCTTAATGTTACATTTAACTTTATCTTTAAACACTATACTTGAATATTTGACTTGAGCATCTCGATCAATGTTTCTTAAAATTACCCTGATTTGTCATTTAGAATTATGTCAGTTCTGTATTGTTCTAAAAAATTAGGATAATACAGGCATTAAAATAGCACATCGTCACTCGTCTGAAATCTGGGTAGGTTGTTGAAGATTTACTGTAATTGATCATAAATCAATATAGTATATTAAATATCTCAATATGTTATGTCAACATTTTATGTTAGTCTCTAGGGACTTCACAAATGAATACAAGTATTACATTGACATGCCTTTAAACACATTGCAATGATAGTGATTTTGTAGATCAAAATGAATTATTGGCTAATTGAAATACCAGAAGGTGTGTATAAGTACAGTCACACCTGTATTTAAAGGCCAACCTTTGTGAAAGAAGAAGATATCTTAGCTGATTTGTCTTGGTTCTAATTGGCCTTGGTTCTTAACTGTATCGATAATGATATCATTCATTAAATTGATAAATAATTTTTTTTTGGTCAGGAAACCCTAGAATTTGAATGACATTCTAAACAACTATAGGTCTGCAGCTAAATTTTAAAGTTGGGGAAAAAAAGGAAAGATGACTTTATCAAGACAAGTTTTCTGTATATTATGGACATGAATTGAGCATGTTCATGGACACAGGTTTCACTGTCATATAATAACTCTTAATGAGGAGACTTAATATAGCTCTTAAATTTTACTTCTCTACAGGTAAAAATATAAGAATTGATATGATATAAGTAAATATTAGTTTAAAAGATATATTTACAAAAGTTTTTGGCTGATTTTTTTTATCCCTTGGCATTTTGTTGAATTCTAGCATTTGTGTAATCCCTTTTGTAATGTTTAGAGAAAATGGATTTAAAAGTTTTCACATGCAAGTTAACTAATATTGATTGAATTAGGATACTAGCATGAAAGTTTGTTCACTTTATTATCCATTCCATGGTATACAAACAAAATATTTGCCATAGTCTAGATTCCTTTTCTTTGACTTCACTGGTCAATATCAGTGGAAAAGTTGCCTGACAAAAGATAATTTCTGGACAATATTGTGGCCTGGTTGTGGTCAGGGGCCAGATTTTTTTTTATCTTAAGCCACTTGTGTAGCCTGGTGCAAGTTTGATACCTGGAATAGATGAATTCTTTTAACATTTAATCAGGAACCAAAAGTGATTGGCCTTTGCTATCATTACAGGGCTTGGCTAGCCTGCACATTTTTGCAGTTTGACCAGATTGGTCGTTGTTTGGCTCAATCTTTTCCATTTTGATATTGAAAACCTTAAACAATAAATTTGATAACTGTTCCAAATGCAGTGACAGGCAAAATCCATTACATTTCTGCAGGTGAAGGTTCGATCTTTACTCTACTATCTATAGTTAATGTGTGGAGACAGTCTGGTTAGACTGAAGGGAAAATTGCAAGCTGGCCTGACTTCTTAAGCTAGGAAAAGTCAAGCTGCTTTATAAAAGATATTTTACTCTGTTGTACATTGATAACCTCATGCATGTAAAATGTTAACTTTACCCACCAGACATCCACTTTAAAGAAATCATCTTTTTATGTGAGTCTTTGAAAATAACCCAACAAGATGATTATATGAAAATTACTTTCCGATACAATTTTCTTTTATTTTGGCCCTGCAAAATATGATTTTATGGATTTTTGTTTTTTGAGTCTACAAATTGTCACTATTTTGTACAATACTTATGTGGATAGGTACATTTGTATTTAAGACTCAAGTGTATAAAAATTTACCCCAAAAATGTCAGCTGGGGGTATTTTTGTTTTCAGTGCTCTTTCAAGATTGCTTATTAAAACTTTCTGAAAAGATATTTTTAAATGGGTTTTAACTCGTAACGTGTTTGTAGAACTCAAAAAGAAAACAAAAGAATTATTGTGTGTGAAATTCAATCGTAACTGTGCAGTGTTTCATTGGATATAGTACAATGTAATAATATTCTGCATTATTTTAATGAAAACATGCTTTTTTTTGCAAAAGGATAAACACAATATTTTAACTATAAAAAGCATCTATAAAGACCTCCATATACAATTGAAAATGTATCGTATTTAAAAATCAATTTTAGACGTTTTTATGTAAATTGATCCACCATACATTCATAAGGGGTTGCAGGACCTGTATGTATATAAAGAAAACTTGCTGTAAAGACACGCCTTAAAAAATGTTTTATTTTGTTAAAGCGTAAAATAATTATGCCCGAAATAATACGTTACACTATGTATCAAATGACCGATATTGTAAATAAGTCATTTTTTCACGTCATTCGCAGGGGAGGGATTGTAATAGCTTTACACCCTAATCAAATACAAGTATCAATAAAAGCGATTACGAATTCAATAAAAGCTTTTAGTGCAATGGTTTATCATAACGTTACGAATTTGGCACCTCGTACTGACGGTGACAAGTTTGATACATATCGCCAATTTGATAACCATTTGAATGTGTTTCTATATAAAAGGAAAACTTCAAAAAGATTAGCGAACATTTGAAAATAGGTTTCGATATTGTAACCTCTGGCTTTTGTTGAAAACAGCATTTAAATACCGCATGTCCCAAGCCTGTTACAAGTATCATTCAAATAAATTTAAAATAAATGATCGCGGATTCTCGGTTATCTTCGAGTTGGCTAAATTACTCTATATAAAAAATTTGCGTTTTATTTGACTAATAGCTTTAACTACTCAATCATATGCTTTTTAAACCCTTATATTAATATAGATAAAATTGCAAACAGAAGCATTTCTTGTGTTTAATTGAACTTCATGAGGCAATTTAAAGTTTTGAATTTTTTGTATTTGCATATCTATCTTGTACTGGTACTCTATCAGTTTAAAGTATTTTATAATGAAGTTATAATTGAAAAGAGCCTACTGTGTAAAGATCTCAGAGTTTCAGGCAGATGTGAATGAGGTGCAGAGGCCTTTCAACATTGCTGTTAAAGGATTACTATCTTTGTCCCCGGGCCACGGCCGCTTCATCTGTATTGCTGGTGCAAAATTTAGAAAAACTGTCCAAATTCACAATCCTTAAAACTATTTCTGTAATAGTGCTGAAAATAAGCTTATGACCCAGAACCTTTATTTCCATGTATGTCTTTGCATAACAATAAAATATAAGTAACATTTTCCCTGCTGGAATCGACTGTGAACGAGCTTGTGCCGCCAGTATATAGCCAGGCCAGCCTGTACATCCCTGCTGTCTGACCAGGCTGTATACTGTTTGCTGGCTTACTGTAAACTTTCACCTTAAAATCCCCCAAACTTATAATGGACAGTTCCAAACTGGCAGCTGAAAAACGCATTTAAGAAATTCAGCAGGGTTCAGGTTAAACAAGTTTTATATAATTTACGCTATTTCTATTAAGGCAAACAAGCAAATACATTATTCCTATTTACAATAGTAACAGCATGAAAATCATGGTCATTAAGATTAAAATAAAAATGGTATTCTACGGTACGTATATGCATGATATTTTGTGCATTTCAGGGTTTGTTTACACATATGTCAGAGTGTACAGATGAGAATCTCACGTCCCGCATAGAAGTCAGCTATTTTGAGATTTACAATGAACGTGTTAGAGACCTTCTACAACCAGAGATGTTCAAATTAAATGAAAACTTCTCCCTCAAGGTTAGAGAACATCCAAAAGATGGCCCTTATGTGAAAGGTTTGTATAAAGATCAGAAAATTGTAATTTGTTTTAAAAGTTTTATGTCAGACAGTTTGAGTATAAAGGATCGTATTTTTAGTATTGACAGATTGAAGATTGATTGCAAGAACAACAGGGAAGTTGATATATATTTAGAATTTATAGTCGGTATTCTAAACTAAAACAATCAAAATTTTGTTTTGTTGACTTGTTATAGATGATCAAAAAACGGATGATCTACATACTGTCATTCATGAAAAATGTACACTTCCAACCATATTCCTTTTTAATGATGATAGTCACTGAGTTACTAAATGAAATGGTTTCTATCTACTGATCTATCTAGGAAGAAAAATATGAGAATGCACCCTAAACAATGCTGGTAAGATTTCTTGCTCAAAAAAATGAGCAATGTTAATGATGGGAGTCAAAGCCTGGACCTCTTTATTTCAAAAGCTTATTTCTTAACACAGTACTATTGCTCCTACTGATTATTGCTTGCTTGTCTGTCCATTCTCACCTTTCTGAAGAAAAAAAAACAACTGCCCTTTTAATAGTAAAGCAGGCTGTATTTTTGCATGATATTTTTATCTCAGTATAAAAATATGCTAAAATATATTTCTTTTTTCTTAAGAATCATTCTTATAAAAGTTATACCATATATTTTAAAATACAAAAAGATTTGAATATATTCTAGATTTAACCTGGCACCGTGTAAAGACCAATGATGATATACAGACACTTCTTGACAAGGGCAACAAATACAGGTTATACAATAGACTTGATATCTTCATAATATCTCATTGACTAATAAACGTTAATGTCCTACCATGATGGAGAGCCAAGGGAGGTCATAAGTCCTGAAAACAGAAAGAAGCCTGTTTTTCCAAAAATGCATTTTGACCATAACCATTTGCTCCACAATTATTTGATTCCTAAAAATAATGAATTTATTTATTAATAGTGAATTTTCTTAATAGCTCATCATAAATTGTTCAAGTCTTGTATCTCAAATTCTGCAGGGAGGAGCATTTTAAATTTTTCTCCATTTATGCTGGAATAATTACATGTATGTTCAAATAATACTTTATATTTGGATATTGGACTTGACTGGCTTTACTATTTAATGTGTTGACTGCTGTTTAAATATTAAAAATTCTAATATTGAACATACAAGTAAGATAACTCTGCAAGGCTTTGCAGATTGGTGTAGGTCAGTACTGCTGGCATAGGGAGCTAAGGGTTAAATGGATTGAACAATTCTCTTATTTGATAATTTATGCATTTTCAGAGTAACAGCAGAAACATACATGCATGGTCACAGTTCTCGCAGTCATGCTATAGTTACTGTGTGCTACACTCAGGTATCTTATACAAGTTTTACTGTAACATAATTAATTCATACAACAGTTTTAGCTGTTATACCTTTTTCCAACATTTTACGATGCTTTTATTTTCTTAAATACAGCTTTACAGAAATTGAAAGAAATTTTGTTTTTACAATATGTAAAATAAATATTTTAAGCCACATAGCACATCTGAGTAAAATTAAATAGGATTTAGATAGAAATTAAAGAAACTTTTGCTGGTTTAATCTGATAATTGTAATAAATATTTTATTTTCATACATCAGGCCAGATTGGAAGAAAACAGACCCAGTGAAATAGTGAGCAAAATCAACTTGGTGGACTTGGCTGGAAGGTAAAAAAGCATACTCAGAAGTAGAGATTTTTCATTGAATTGTTGCAGTAGTACATGTATATTTTTTTATGTCGTTACATGAGTAGAAGATTTACAAAGATCAGATGATAAGATTTATTGAAAAAAAATGGTCACAGTTTTACAGTCATAGGTTTGAATCTTTTATTGGCCACAAGGGGAAGCTTCATTGACATTTGAACTGATCTGTTAAACCATACTCTGCCATCTCACCTTAGTGCAGTAACGGGTTAACTCCTATTAAATCATATAAGGAGTGAACCCATTTATGCACTAAGGTGACGATTAGTGTCTTGCTGTTCCTCTTTTGACACCAGTTTTGACACCAATATTAGTTAGTTCTAGGAAATAAACTCAAAAGTGCCTCAAATAACAGTCAAGCTTTCATCACAAACTGAAATAAATTTAGTGAAATAATTTGTTGAAACTAATATACTTGAAAAATATTATTTACAATACAAATATTTTAATATAAATGGTATCAATTTTTGACATGAAATGTAAAATAATCTTGTAGAAAGGTGAATGATTTTATGAGAGGGTGCCAATAAAAGAGGTTGTAATTAGGTCACAAGTGCAAATCCCATTCATAGATTATACTAAATGGGTCATGGAGATTCATTTCATCTATATGTGATTATACATTTATTCTCCTTATATGAAATTTAACTTGGCATAACTGAAATCAAACAAATATTAAAGTTATATAACAAATTTTCTTTCAAGTATTTTTAGGATCCCTATATATGTCAACTTTTTTTAAACAATAAAATTGGGAATTTTCATGTATAAAGGTTACTTGAAGTATAGGTCCTTCATAGTTATTTCTTTTTCATTGTGAGAAGTGGATCTAATATAATATTTGGTATTCATTTGAAAAACTACTTGAGTTGGCTTTTAATAAGTCTCAACTGTATAATCTTAGGTTATACTATACGTATTAATTTTAGTTTTGTCACTTTTGAACTTGGCTGGAATTTTAAGCCGTTTAAATGAACAACTGACACTATCTAAAACCCAAAACTTGAAAAATATATTGAAACCCCACCCACTAAAAGGATCATTTATAAAAGCATAGATTTATTGCGATATTTGAGGTATTTATTGATGTTTAAAGTTGAACATTGATTTTTGATATCTTAAATGGCCCTAATGATTTTAACATGTACATCATTCAGGGTGTTTCACTTTAAAAAAAAATCTTTGTATAATTATGATACAAGTCTGACTCATCACTTATTTAAGTCAGTTATTTTAATTGCTGACTTTAAAGCACTGAGGTTTTTTGACATGAAGGGACTGGAAGTAATTTTTGGTTACTTGTTTACTATTTAATGTAGGTCTGGAATAATAACTAATGTTATTCCCTCATTCCGTTTTCGCAGAATAGTTATTTTTATTGTAAAAAAAATACCAAAAAAAAGGAAAAGTTTTGCAATGATTTTCACATAAACCATGCCTAAATCATGCAAATAATCAATTTTCAATTTGACTCTTAGGTATATTTCTTTATTATTTTTTTGCAGATTTTTCCATTTTAAGTACATCACAGGGCGTCCGTGGCCAAGTGGTTAAGGTCGTTAACTTCAAACCACTTGCCTCTCACCGCTGTGGGTTCGAATCCTTACAGGGACTTTGGATTCTTTCATGTGAGGAAACTAGCTTACTAAACGTTGGTGGTTCTACTCAGGTGCCCGTTCGTGCCCAAAATAACAGTAAAGCTGGAACGTCGCCATATGACCTATACTGTGTCGGTGTGACGTAAAACCCAAATCAAACAAACAAATTAAGTGCATCACTTGATCTATGCAAGAATATTTATGATTTTAGGCTTTTTGACCTCAGTACTTGGAGCTCCTTTTATAAAACAGAAGACAAACTAGAAATAAATTGTTTTTATCAACATAAAAATGCATTAATATACAAAAAAACAAACACACAAAAATCATCCTTTGATGAATTACAGCTATTTATATTTTGTCATACAACTATAATGTTCTCAAAATTTAGTTTAATGCTAAAGATGCTGCTTTATGTTTTAACAATTTTTTACCAAAAAAAAAAAAATGCATATTTTTTCCTGTTATTAAGCTACCAGTTTTTGGGAATGTTTCATGTTATAGTTTCTATTAACATTCATAAACACACTTTAACCCAGGTCTACTTTTCTCATTTGATAATTTTTATTTTCATTGCCATCCTGAGATCTTTTTCTCCAGAATTTCCTTATAAAATTATTTCCTTATCATAAAACATGTTGTATGGTATTCTCCCTAATTTTTTCAAACAGAAATTTATGCACATGTACATCTATATTATTGTATGTAAAAAAGCAGGTTTTAACAATAAATTTGCATATTCATCGTATACATGTAATTGAATTTTTCCATATTTGAAATTTAAATTCATTCTTCTGCTTTATTTGCTTATAATATACAATGTCATGTATAGGATCTTAATTGTCATTTCATGCATTCTTATATAACCATAACCTGCTGAATTTCTAAAATGGACTTGTCCAGCTCCCATATTTTGGAACTGTCCATTATAATTGTTGGGTATCAAGTTGTAAATTTAGAGTCAGACTGCGAGGAAATGCAGGCTGACCTGGCTCTATACTGGTGGCAAACCCTTATTACTTTTGGTTCCAGCAGGTGACTGTAACGGTTAAATGAGTCTAGGACAATGTTATATAAAAAAGCATGTAGGCAATCTTTATATCATTTTTAGGTTGGTTAAATCTAAGGCTAAATAAAATGACAACTTTTGTAAGAATATGTTTATCATTTGGTATTGAAAAGGCCAAAAAAACTTTTTTTAAAAATTCAATAATAATTCTAGCTACAGGTACTTGCATAATTTGTGTTGAATTTTTATGAGGATTAAAGAAAAAAAGATTTTGGTTTGATCTTTTTACTTTTTAAACTTTGATAACCTAGGGATATCAAGTTAAGAGTCTCGTCCTGTACAGGTGCATACGTTTACACATGTTAAAATCGTAAGTTTTAAAACAAAAAATGCGTTCTCGATAGGTTAACGCTATTTTTCTGATATCAGGAATATATACAAATTTGTTTCCTGTTTGAACAAACATGACCCCTGTAACCCACAAGCCGTATAAAGTATCATCAAAAGAGATAGATTGCACGGGACCCGTGATTTTATTAATAAAAACATGTTGCGCAAAGTATTATATCAATATTTTAATGCATGATAGGTGTAATTTACACCTTGCTTGTGGATTTAGATGATTTTGCGTGACACAGTTTAAGCATTTTAAGTAGGAGCTATCTTTTTATGTTAGGAGATTTTTTTTGTTATAGTGTTACTTGACTTTACATGGCTTTAAACTGCATATAAATTTGTTAATAGATAGGGTAATATTGCATTAAACATAAATGGACTTAAGTTTGACTAAATAAAATATGTCTGATGTAACTTTTGCAGAATATTTACAGTTATAATAAATACAAAACGTATCATGTGAGGGAAGAAGAAGGAAAATAACCCAGATAAAAAAATTTTAGTCATTATTTGAATAAAATCTTGTCTGAGGAGAATAATGTAATTTATTGCCTTATACTGCCAAATACAGTAGCGCAATAAATGTAACAAGTTTTGGAACGTAATTTTAAGAGAAAAAAAGTGTACAAATACACAAAACTACTTTGGCTGTAGTTCTAATTTGATTTGATTATAAAAAAAAAACAGTAATCAGGACAAAAATAAACTATTGATAAATTTAGTATACATGTACATGTATATGAAACCTAACAAAACAAATGTACATGCCTGCATTGTGGCCAGTTTATACACAATTATCTGCTTTATTTAATCATTTTGATATTGAAATCTCTTATATCATTAATGGAGAATTCCAAGTAATAGGTAGGGTAAGTCCAATGCTTACAAAAAAGGAACAATTCTGTCTTTTAAGAAAGCTATGCAGATAGATGATCTATGTTTGATTGTTCAACCCTAAATGCCAGCTTATGTCTAAAATTTTATGCAGGGCCAGGCATTTCTTCATCAGTGAAGTCTTCGATTGTGTCACAATTTACTTTTTAGTGTTGGTGTAGAGTAACTTTAACCAGGTATCAGAATTGTTGAATGATGGTCCAATTTTTTAAATATTTTTTGTTCAAGTAGCACTCAAGACACAAGGACATGCACACCTGTTGTCTGATCCCTGGTTCTCAGTTTGAGCTCTTTGATGACATTTTTCTCGAGAGGTTTTCTGAAAATTGAAGATCAATAAAGGATATTAATATGTTTATTTAACAAAGTATTCATGTTGATAAATTGCCTATTGTTTTCACTGTTCTGTTCTGACATTGTGGCATGTTGGAACTCAATACAAAATGATTTAAATTCTGCACCTGGGACATTCACCTCTTAATACATACTTAATAAATGTTTATTACTTACTTAATACTGAGCAGTACATGATTATAAACTTCTAAACTCCTAAAAGGTTTGCTGCTGATTTTTTTTTCCAGGCTGTCACAATTCATTATGTTAGTGTAGGCTTAACATATGGCTGACTGAAATTAGGCTGTTGAAGCTATTGATTATAAATTTATATAATATATTTATTGGATTTTAAAAAGTAGTTTGAGAATTCTTAATTCCCTTTGAGGCATTAACGTAATCTAATCATTGTTAACTACTTACCTGGGGTCTTAGGAACTCGTTAGATTTGCTGCATTTGCTGTTTTTTTTTATACATCTATACTGTATTTTAAAATTGAAGAAAAAAAATAGTGAAAATATTATTGCATGGTTTCATTTTAAAATGCACTATATCCCCTGAAAAGACAATAAAATCAACTATCGAGTGTTACATAGATGCTTTTATATGCAAATTATTACGTTCTTACCTTTGTTTTATTGCAATTTCAAATACCTCCAGCAATAGTATTTGTCATTCTTTTGCACAATTAAAATTGAGAAATGAACATAATAAATCTTCGTTCATGACA